GAGGGAAATATGGATGAATTTTATCCAGTCTTCTGGTGCTTAACAGCAGTGGGGATCATAAAGAAGGGGAAACTGCCCGGGGCCCTTCGACCACTTCAGATCAGCCACTTTGTACTGGCTCGTGCTGGGCTGTGTGTGTTTGAGCCTTGAGGACGTTGTGCTGAGTGAAGTCAGCCAGACCCACAGGACAAACACTGTATGATTCCACTCACGTGAAGTACCGTGAACAGGCATATTCGCAGAAACGGAAAGTAGAGTAGCCATCGCCAGGGGCTGAGAGGAGGAGGAGCGCGAGGTTAGTGTTTGGTGGGTACAGAGTTTGTGCTTCGGGAAACGGAGAAGTTCCGGAGACAGTAGAAGTGGTCGCACGGCACCGTGAGCTGACCTAATGCCACCGGGGGAAACAGACAACAGGCAGGAGTGGGTGATTCACAAAAGGCAATAAATACAATTTATTAAGAAAAGCTCAGTCTCACTGATAATAAATTAAATGAAGTTAAATTAGTGTAGTATTCATTTTCACATATCAGAATTACAGTTGATGAGAGAAGCATTCATACTGCTTGTGAGAATGTCAGTTGAGATGGTTTTTCTGGGTAGTAAATGAATAACTTCACACATCTCTTCAGTAAGTAATTCTACTCCTGGGAATTCATCTTAAAGGAAGAAATAAGAAATGTGGACAGATATTCAGGATATAGCAAAAAATTTACAAATAGTCCAACTTCTCGATACTAGGAAATAAATTACAAAATTATAGTATAACCATCCCACATATCATACACTCATTTTAAATATTTAGAGTGTTTACGATGCCAAGGTCAGATATAGTGGATAAAATAAAAGAGTAAATTGCATGAACAGGGGGTAGGCAAAAGTAGGTTTGCAGTGGTGAGCACACGGAACAGAGTTTATTCTTATATAATCATCTATTAATTATTATGTCAACACGACTGTAAGCCTACTTTTGCCCACCCCTGTATAATGTGTGCTGGTTGCAGAGGAGCCACATTTGCGCTGTTCACTTTTGTAGTCAACTGTGTGCATTCATCAGAGAGAGAGAGAGCGAGAGAGAGAGAGAGAGAGAGAGAGAGCGCGCGAGACAGCTTCCGTTGTTCAGACAACTCACCCGAACACCTGACAGTTTCCCCTGGAGTAAGCAGAGAAGGGGAGATGGCCTGCTTTTCCCTCAGCCCCACTGGGCAAGTGCATCATGCCATGGTCTGTGCGGTTCTAATATTTAATGATCTGTTACTTTTTTATAGCGTAACCCCCAGAGTAAGCCAACCACTTCGTCTGGGGCTCAGTCAGACCCCGGGGTCTGGTCCAGCCCCGGAGAGTCCCCTGGCTGCACTGGACTTACCAGGAGGTGGTGTGTTGGTATCCAGCGTGGTGCCTGCTTTAAAGATTTTCCAGGAAACTTACGAGTTTTTGCTATTTTCACTTCATAGGTTGAGTTTAGAACCTAGCTGGTGTATAAGGTAGATATATAGATTTAAAAATTACAATAAAAGGGGCAAGAAGCATGGGGAAAAAATGGCCTTACACATCAAAGTATGAACCGTTGTCTGCAGGCGATGAGATTAAGAAAGACTTCCTCCACTGCCTTGTACTTCTCAGAATTCGGCAGATTCTCTATAGTGAGACTGTATTACTTTTATAAGCAGTCATTTTGCTTATAAAAGCATTGAAAATCCAGTTTTCACACTTTTCAGTCATTCTTTGTAAATGACGTACTTCTGTCTAAACTACAATTTAAAGCCACACCACTACAAGGATTTTACGAAGCACCAGATGGTTCCCAGAGACGGCTGCCATTTATCGAGTGCTCGCTGCGTGCCAGGCTCTGCACAAAACACCTGACGTGCATTTAACCCCCGTGATAGTGCCCTGAAGTTCACCTGCTGTTCCGTTTTACAGATGGTGCTATTGTTACTGTAATTAATACTTACTGAACATTGACCGTGAGGACCTGTTCTAATTACTGCTTGTTGGCTTGTTTAATCTGAGGCTAAGTAACTTCCCCTGGATAATCCACGAGGTGGGCCCAGCACCGGGCGTGGGCAGTGGGGCTGCCGAGCCCGCACTCCCTCCAGCGTGGGGTGTGGACGTGAGGCCCGAGCCCATGGGGCCCACGACAGTGGGGCGAGGGGCTCCAGCCCAGATGTGCCCCTGCCCTTCCTCATCATCTCCTTCCTGTTGAAATCTGTGGCCTTCTTAGAAATGTTTTAAAATGCTTTATTACTTCTATTTGGCTATTAGAGAGTTACTTGAAGGAAACTGGCATTAGGAATTACCTGAGGAAAACTCTGGTTGAACCACCAGAAGTAAAACAGAAGCCATGCCTACAATCATTTCCGACCTCGCAAGCACTCACTGGGCTAAGTACACCAAAAGGAGAACATTGTTACTTACTGTTTTCCCTTAGAGAATCATCGTTTACATGGATTTGTTAGGACAGGCTCGAAAGTGGAGAGTCCTTGGCTTATATAGCAAGGGTATCATTAAGGGCAGGGATGGGAAATGGCTTTACGGTTTTTCTTCAAACCTACGAATAATAAGGGAAGGCTGCCAACTAGCCATGCAGCTCAGTACTACACTTTTGGGGTCGAGCTGAGACCCCTCACTCTCGGGGACTAAGTGTGAAAACAACACACGCATGTTCTCATTCCCAGAAATATAAGAAGACGGTGCAGCGCGGCAGGCACGGCGGGCCAGCCCTGGGTACCTGCAGCTGTGGGGCGGGGCCAGCCGCCCGGTCAGACCGCCCTGCACTCGCCCGCCCCAGGCACAGCCCCCACGCACCCCCTCGGCTCCCCGGGGGCAGTCACCGGGCCCCTCTCGCTGTACCTGGCTAGGGCTTACCTCAGTTCTGGATTTATAAAGAGGATTTTCCCTTAATTCTGATCCAACAAGCATACATTCATTAACTCACTTTAAGTAAATTACCTGACTTATTTTGGGTCGTAGTTATTCAGCAAAAATATTTACTCTGAAATATAAAATTAGAGGTGACCCTTCCCATTCTTAAAAAGTATTTGCTTCCGTTAAACATCATCTTAAAAAGGTCAAATGTTAAAAAACGAAAAACCTGTGTGTGTCTGTAAGTAATTACATCTCTTCAAGAGCAACATGGGAGTTGGAGGAGTGGCAATTTGTGTCAAAATAACATCCGCGGCCTGTGAATCTTGAGACTTTTTCTGGTCTGTGAACTAGAAATAACTACTTCACACACCGCAAAGCTCAAGTAGACAATGTATTTTTAAGATGTCTGAGTGAAGAGGTATATTTTACAAATTATCCAAAAGGAGATACTCAGTATTTCACACGAGCCGTCTTCCTGTCTGATCTGAATCCATGTTCTTTCCATGCTTCCCACTCCCAGGTCAGCTCTGTGTTCTGCAGCTCAACACCCTGTATGTTAAAACCTGTGTTTTCTTCCTCACAGGCTCCCCGAGCACATCCTGAGCCCTGGGACGGTGGGGCTCTCCAGGGGACCCTGGGCATGCTGTGGAAGCTGCTGCTGAGACCCCAGCCTTGCAGGCTGTGCTCTCGCAGAAGGGTGCTGCCAGCCCCCAGACACCGACCTTCGGTGGCACGCTTCACCTGCACCCCTGATAATCAGTCAAAGAAAGAAAATGAGAGGACAGTAGAAAAGCTCTATCAATGTTCCGTTGACATCAGGAAAATCCGCAGATTGAAAGGATGGGTACTTTTGGAGGATGAAACCTATGTTGAAGAAATTGCAAGTATTTTACAACAGCTGGGTGCCGATGAGACCGTGGTAGCCAGTATTCTGGAACGCTGCCCAGAAGCCATTGTCCGCAGTCCCGCTGCCGTGAGCATCCAGAGGGACCTCTGGCAGTCAGTCTGCAGAAACAAGGAAGAGTTGGTCAAGTTAATAGAACAGTTTCCAGAATCCTTCTTTGCCGTTCAAGACCAGGAAAACCGGAAACGGAACGTTCAGTTCTTTCAAGAGTTGGGACTCAAAAATGTGGTCATTAGCAGATTTTTGACAACTGCTTCTAGTATTTTTCATAATCCTGTTGAGCAAAATAAGCAAATGATAAGGATTCTCCAAGAGAGTTATCTAAATCTAGGTGGCTCCGAGGCCAACATGAAAGTTTGGCTCCTAAAATTATTAAGCCAAGACCCATTTATTTTGTTAAATTCTTCCGCCGCTATCAAGGAAACACTCGAGTTTCTCCAGGAGCAGGGTTTCACAGACTTTGAAATTCTCCACCTCCTGTCCAAACTGAAAGGGTTTCTTTTTCAGCTTAGCCCAAGAAGTATACAGAACAGTATTTCCTTCTCTAAAAGTGCTTTTAAATGCACAGATCATGACCTGAAGCAATTAGTGTTGAAGTGTCCTGCCCTTTTATATTATTCCGTTCCCGTTTTGGAAGAGAGAATTCAGGTGTTACTGAAAGAGGGCATTTCCATAGCTCAGATAAGAGAGACGCCAATGGTTCTTGAATTAACACCGCAGATAGTACAGTACAGGATAAGGAAACTGAACTCTTTAGGCTACAGAATAAAGGATGGGCATCTAGCAAATCTACATGGAACAAAAAAAGAGTTTGAGGCTAACTTTGGTAAAATCCAGGCCAAAAAAGGAAGGCCATTATTTAACCCTGTGGCACCATTAAACGTTGATGAGTAACTTGCTGGCTGGTATTGCTTCTTTCTGGCAGTGCAAGTGAACCGAGGAGCAAAGACACACGATTCACGCAGTTTGTCGGCACCAGGAATTTTAAGAAACTGCTGGTTTCTGAGTTGTGTGTCAATTACCCATGAGGAAATAATCTCCAACTCATTTGCCTTATGTGTGTGTAATTAATCCTTACCTGGATTACCCTCAGGGGATACGTTTATTGCTTTTAGACAGAAAGGGAGAGAGAGAAACGTGGATCGGTTGCCTCCCCTACCCTGACCAGGGATCAAACCTGCAACCTAAGTGCGTGCCCTTGAACAGGAATTGAACCTGCAACCTTTTGGTGTACGGGACGACGTTGCAACCAACTGAACCACCCAGCCAGGGCTCATTTGCTGTCTTTTAAAATATAAGTTGCATTTATTTTAAGTAATGTTGGTAATTTGACTTTAAGCTATATTTTTAAAACTCCTATACTATTAAATGGCACGTCGGTGTGATATTTTATAAGTGAATCGTTTCTAAGAAACTGACATGTGTACTCCCCTTAATTCAAGGTATGGTTACGTTTTTTAAATTTGCATAATACGTTTCAGGCTAGCCTTCTTCCTCAGCACCAACTCTGAAACATCACTCCTGTGGTCTGAAGTCTGCAGCTTAGTGTCAAGTGAAACATCATCAAATGAGTCCGTTTTTTAGAGAAAGCTGATTTTATCTCCTGGTTGCAGTAAGTGATTGTCTTTCAGAACCAAGTATGACTCATCATCCAAAAAGAACAATCAGAGCTTACTTCTATGGTCAGTGTGTTCGAAATTGACCATTCTTATCTCATGAAATGCTTTTAAGTGCATTCATTACCCTCCCCGTTTGTGCAGATGAGGAAACGGAAGCTTAGGGAGGCCACTCCGCTGCCCAATGACGGAGCCCAGGCTCACTGTGCTCCGCCTGCCTCTCCAACCTCGGGACTAGGGAAAGGACTGCCTGTGAGTGGGCAGAAGGAAAGTCACCCCTCCCTGACCCGCCCAAGGAGTGAGTACCAACAAATTTAGGGATTTTTATGGAAACTTCTCGGTAAAATTCCTTAAATGTGAAGTGATTGAATTTATAAACAATTGAAGTACATGGAGCATTTTAAAATTTTTTCCTGAAAATCCAGGTCTGCCTTTAAAATGAAATGGGCATGATGGTTTTAGTAGCATTTCAAATTTCTATTTCTAAATCTTGTTCCAAGATAAAAATTACCCCACATAAAGACTGGCCCACTTTCAGCTGTGCAGTTTGAACTTTGTGAAAATACACAACCAAACAATTGACTCTGATATCCAAACATCCATGTGCATGGCCTTTTAAGAAAAAAATCGTGAAAAACTCAGGCCATCTTCATTTAGCACATGCAGGTAACCCTCACTATGAACAAACCTGGTCTGTTCTTAGGAGAGTGGAAGAAATCTCTGCAGCACCAGCTAAGTGCCAGGCACGTGGTGCTTTCTGACCCTGCGTTTGGTACCATTGTTCACTATTGTACAGATTAGGAGGCTCAGACACAGAGAGGGTCAGCTGTTTACCCCAAGTCACATGGGAACGCTTGTTCAAGGAAAAGAGCGACCATCAGTAAGTACACTGGGGGCGGGGGGCGTGGTGCAAAGGTCAGTGAGCACCACAAGTGCATCCAAGGAGCAGAATCTCCGTGTGTGGTAGGACTCCCCTGGAGGACATTAGTTTGTGCTTGTTGGCTGGACATAATTATCAGTGGTGCTCGCTCTGTCAGCTGTCTCAGTTTGAAACACATTACATGGTCACCTCTTAGGTGTCAGTTTTGGGATGTCTACTAGCTATGAGCAGAGGTGTCAGAGGCAAATGGCCAAGTCGAGTTGGAGAAGTCAGGACTGGAGACAGGTGTCAAGCTGTGACTTGTGATGAGCTTATCCATCCTGGAAAGGGCTAACCAGAGGGAGAAATCTGCCAAGAACACAGGGCATGGTCAGTACTATTCAGTGCCACTGGAGGTGCCAACTAAGACACAGACAAGAGTGACTGATGGATTTGGCAAACTGGAAATCATCAGCCGGTCCTATCAGCAGTGGTTCTGGTGCACTGAGAAAGGTACGAAGGCACCTGGAGTGGGTTGAGAGAATAGAAGAAGAGGTAGCAACTCGTTTTTCAAAAAATTTTGCTATGACATTTTTCTTTAAAGCAAGCAAATACAAAGACATGTTTACATGCCAGTGGGTATGGCCCAAGAGAGCTGGACGACAGAAGGAAAACTGCAGGATTAACGTCCTTGAGGAGCGAAGAGGGGCAGACTGGGTAGGAGCAGAGACTCTACTTCTGGCCCTTGGAGCATGGGAATGGGTGCAGGCAGGTGATGGAGTGGGTGGTGTGAGGGGCGGGGGGAGGGGGGTTGCCGTCTGACCGCCTCTCTTTACAGAGGACGGTAGAATGGGAGGAGTGGAGTATATGCAGCAGCAGAGTCGGGAGGAGGTGCTAAGTGGTCATTTCAAGGAGCAGGAAAGCGCACATGCAGGAGGGTGTGCAGGAGAGTTTTGCAGATCTGAGTGGCCGTGAGTGCTTTGCGGCAGTTAGTTTAAAGAGCCTAGTCAGTGCAGCGGCACATTTGCAGACGCAGCCTGAGGCACAGACAACCAGAGAGACCCAATGGTCTCGGAAATACACTGGTAGCTCACTCTAACTGGAAAAGATTACATTAGAAAAATCCACAGTTGTAGTCAAAAACCCAGTTTATTTATTGACTTTAGACTAAATCTTACTCCATATTTTCTTTTGTAAGCCTTTGCACCTGTCCATTCTTGCATTTTTCCTTAGATCTTTCTGAGTAGACTTGAAAATATTCAAAGCAACAACATAGCAAGGATACTCTTACATTAAACACTAGAGTTAAATTTTACTTTCTGTGTGAAAAAAGGCTCTAGTAACAAAGTTATTTCCTGTAGGTAATTTATGTATAGTTATACTAAATTCATTTCTGTGGCAAAATGTAACTGGCTGCCCAAGTAAACACGGTCACCAGGAGGACGCCGGTGCTGAAGGCGGACAGCCTGGAAGGTCCAGCGCACGGGCTGCACTGACGCCACCGCGGAGCGAGGGACTGGTCACCGAGCAGCCCCACTTCTGTTTCCGGATGTACCCTGGGCGGGCTGTGACTGAGACTCACTCAAAAGTGATGTGGGAAATTCAGCTAACGGTGAGAGTTAGCCTATTGCACGTTTGTAGAAAGAGAACAGAGATACTTTCCCCACGTGGATTAAATCAGATCAGGTAAGGGCAGCGCCAGGTGGGTAAGTAGATGCTCAGTGAACACCCACTGCCTACCTTCCTCCAACTGGTTCCCATCCCTTCGAGTCACTTCTGTCCAGGGAGAGGTCTCGGCTGGTTCCACAGCTGCCTGAGAGACAGGGAAGGGCTCCCTGTTGGTTATCGTCTCTCTGTCAGTTCGCACACTTTAGAGAGCGTGCCTGGGAGCCACCTGCACAGGTGGTTCGACTGCCGTCCTGGGCCCCACCCCGCAGAAACCCAGCAAGTTGGGGTAAAACCTAGAAATCCACATGTTCGATCTTTTTTCTGAATTGTTTAAAACACATGTGCATTTATTGTGTTGGCATCAAAATACATGTTCGGGGGGGGTTTTTTGTTCATTAACATAAAAAAATTTAAAAACTGCTTACAGTACTTTCTGAACTCCATGTTAACTACAAATTTGAAGGGTACCCTGTTTCAAAAATGTCCTTTATTTCCTTAGATCTTTATGAAACGTTTCATATTTTGCAGATCATAGTGCTTTATTAACAGATTCATGTATTCTTTTCCCATTTCTTTAATACAAAAAAAAATTCAGTCACCAGTTATTTTTCATCTGACATTTCTTTCACTGCGTGCAGGATTCGTATCAACATGATTGGAGCAACCAGTGGGTCACACAAGTGTACCCTCCCTGTGCCAAGGACCCACTCCAAAGACAAGCGGAATAACAGACGCCTCCAGGTATATACAACAGTCTTCGTTTCTCGAAGTGAATGAGTGCTACTTAACAGGTCGAATTGCTAATCTACAAAAATAAACTGGAGAAGACTCAGGTGTACAGCTAGACCTATCAAATGGCAGGTTCATTTCAACAAGAACCTCCATAACTAACGGTTCGTGTGTGTGGTTCTCTGCCGTCGCTGTAAAAGCCTCTCCTGAACTGTTGCAGTTTGGAGTTTAAAACAAACTTGGCAACGTGTGCCAGGTGGCTCTCCTGTAGCAGAAATTGATTACAACCATTTTCCTCACGCAGTTCTAAAGACAAGCAAAGTTAAAAATAAATATGCGAGCACACAGTAAATTAAAGTTTAAATTTAGAAATTCAGGTACAGAGCACAGCAGAGCCTATGACTAAAGATAAATTAGAAATATAAACTAGCAACAATTCCTTTCAAATAGCAGGAAACACGTTCTCTACTACCTTTATTTAGATCATTATTTATGGTCGTCTATTAATTTTGGATTCTCTTTTCAAAACCCTCTTCTAATTATGGTATCTGACCAGATACACCAGCTCAAGTAAGTATACCTTAAATAATACAGCGTGAAATGGCCACTTAATTTCTGATGTAGTAAACTCCTTATTAAAGACTTCAGTTTTGTATAACTGTAGAAAGGGTTCAAGAATCTTTGTAGATTTTCTAAAAATCCCTTCTGGTGTTTATGAAAGCTTTTACAAGTTATGTCCTTATACATTTCTTAATCCACATTATTAATGTATAAAACTGAGTCATTTATGAACAAACATTTAAGCCTGTGCTGGAGTCGCCTGCTTGAGTTCTCAGCGACGCTATCTGGCTTCTTTACTCCAGAGCCTGACGCCTTTCGTCCCCTCCCTTGGGAGGGGCGGGGGCGGGAACCCTGCAGGAGGGAGGCAGGGTTTCTGGACGGAAGTGTCAATAAAGAAAACTGATTTTTTTTCAGGCTTGGATTATAAGGAATGCTGACTATGTATGCACTTTAAATTGTTATGAAATGAAAACCAGAAAGATGAATTTCAGCTAAGTCATGTTCTTGCGAATGAAGGAGATACGATGAGAGATGTAAAGGGAGGATACCCATCGTTCATAATCAGAAACTTCAGCTCCCTGCCTGAAGTTGACTTGGAAAATGATACAAAGTCTACAGCTGCTTTGAAGGACAGTTAGGTAACATTTTACAAGCCTATAAACCACTGAAGCACGATTCACAACTAATCTATGGAGCCCATTTCATTCCATTTAAAAGTCAGCCCCACTTATTTGTGGTTCTTTTACTATGTTTTTAAACAGAAGTACTGCTAATAATTTAAGCCATCCTAGAGATAAAATAATAGGTGGGAAGAATTCTTTTTATATCTTGGACGTTCTAGGTAATTTTTAAGAGCTTCAATTTATTTGTTCCTCCTTAATCTGAAACGCTCCCAACATATCTTTGGGCCAGCAAAGAAACGGCCCTCGGGCACTGTGAGGCCTTTGCCGGGCACTGTGAGGCCTTTGCCGGTGGAGCCCGAGCCCCGGCTGGAGCACAGCGTGTGGTCGGAGCACAGCGTGTGGTCGTAACTACCGGCAGTTAATGGAAAGTTCGAAAGCGCTCTCTCCTCTGCTAAGAGCAAGAAATGCCTTTATCCACCACTCCTGAGGTTCTTAGAGAGGGAAAACTAATTCCATAAACAGCTTGTATGAGAATCCATATATAATTCTAAGAACGGCACATATTTGGGGTATTAGAAAAGATGTTATGTAAGGCATTGATGATTAAAATTAATAGAATGCATGTCTAACAAAAGATGGTTAACACTCAGGATCAGAAAACCATTTGTCTTTTCTTTTAAATTTCTCTAAATCCTGCTACTTTTACCAGCTTAAATAAGAAAAGAATGCTTCTTGGCCTAATCAACTATGATTATTTAAAAAAAAACTAAGACGTCTGAAACTATTAGGCACATCAAAAGTACAGTTTATGTAGGTCGAAGTTTCCCTTTCTAAGGGGCAGATGAGTCACCTGGCACGTTATACATACGTAACTGTAAAGACTGTCCACTAAATTCCACTTTCACATTTTTAGTTAAACTGAGAGACATAGTAAATATTCAAATATATCTTCAGTTACAGCTGAGTAAGTGTAACATTTTACCAGATAAAAAGCTGGAATTTAAGTACGAGAAACCTTCATACACTGTGCTAGTATTGGTCTCTTCTTTTTAGACGAAAGCCAGTCATCAATACTTTCAACACAGCAGTTTAAGAAGATAAATGTCCAAAAACAGTTGACTTAAGTTGTGGTCCATAATTTAGCAATTCAATGCCACTGGCATCATAATGCTGTGGAGAGCGAGCGGATCTCCGTGTCTTAGTCAGATTTGTCTTTCTTCTTTCCTGTTAAGGGCACTTTGTTGACGACAGCGGATCCGACGGCCGTAACCCCTCCAGCCACAGCGGACACGCCGCCTTTCACCAGCCCTATTCCCATGGAAGGCACAGTTGTAACAGCTGTTTTGGTCACCTCCAGACTCTTCCCACCAATCCAAGCCACACCACCGATGGTGGCACCAACAGCTCCCTTTGTAACACTGAAGATACCCCCGGTCACACGGGACAACATGCCTGGCTGCTGCTGTGGGTGGTCTTTCATTGAGCCTGATGAGAGAAAACCAGACAGACAGACATCTCTATAAGACAGTACAAACCATTAAGCAGCCCAAGGCTCCCTAACAATCAGGAGGTGGTTTTAAGAAGGCCAATCACATAAGTATAAATGTCCATGTTCAGCAATGGCTAAATTTATAAAAACCAAATTTTTTATTGAAACTATTTGAATAATAAGCATAGTTAATATAAATTTTTACATAAATAAAAAGGCTTAAGATACAGATAAGCATTTGAATATATAATAAGGAATTATACATTCGAAGGGGTGAATATATAATTCAACCTCTACCCCTTATCTGGGTTTCACTTAAAGCATTTTCACTTACCCAGAGTCACCCATGGTCTGAAAATATTAAATGGTAAATTTCAGAAATAAACAATTCATAAGCTGTAAATTGTGTGCCACTCTGAGTAACGTAGTGAAATCTCGAACCACCCCTCCAGCCCACCTGGGGAGTGAACAACCCCAGTGCCCGGTGTGGCCGCACGGTACACACGGCACAGTAAGACATTCTGAGAGAGACCACGTTCACACGGCTTCTTTCACAGTATATCGTTGCGACTGTTCTATTTTACTCTTGTTAACTTCTTACTGTGTCTAGCTTATAAACTAAGCTTTATCATCGGCTTTATCATGTACAGAAATAACAGTATTTGTAGGATTTGGTACCACCTAGGTTTCGGGCAGCCACTGGGGGTCTTTGAATATATCCCCTGTGGATAAGGGGGAACTACTGCATTAATCACAAAATTATGATGGAAAGGATTACATAATCATTCTTTTATAATCAAGGTCAAGGCCAGTAACACTAGGAAAGGGGGGAAATCCTGACTTGAGGGTAAAACAGGTGACTGCTTCATGCTGAACACCTCGTGTGGGGTGATAATGCTGTGCGAAATTTGGTGCACAAGCATTTATTTAATAAACATAATTTTTCTTTAAACATTTTTTGAAAATTTTCAGTTACAGTTGATGGAGGTAATTTTCTTAAATAAGTATTAGTGCTGTTTATATCTTTAATTACAGTTTGCTCTTCATTACCACCATATAAATCATTTGCTTTGCAGACTACTCCTGCTGAGCAGGTTGCCATACACAGCTGTTCCTGGAGCTGGCTCTCTTCCTTGACAGTCGTGCTCCCAGATACACCCTGTGTCTGCCTCGTGCCTGGCGACTTTCTCACAAAGTCCTCATTAACTTTCTCACTGAGCCCTGACTTCTTTTCAAAACTCAGAGTTCTCATCCTAAAGAATAAAGCCAGGAAAACAGGTGGGCTAATCATGTTCTAGGCGATTCCTCCACTAAACTAAAACTAACCAGCTTAGTTATTACCCCCATCCTCTTTTAGGGTGAAATACGAACTTTTCACTGTGTTTATTTTCCTAGCAATTCCATTTTTGTCTGCCAACATAAGAAATAGGGAAAAAAGTTTGGACAGCGGGCGACAGAACTGGGGACAAAATACAACACCCAGGGCTGGACACTCAGCCCTCGCCCCTTCCAGAGACACCCTGGTCCATCTGCTTGTCCCACCTGGTCTGTCAGTCACTCCCTCACTTCCTCTCCAGTCTGATTCTTTTTCTTACCGATTGTGATTGTCCCGTACGAGACACGCAGTTGTCTAAGGAGATCACTATTTGAGTTAAGTGTAACAATATTCTCTACCCAAACCATCAGTAAAAAATGCCCGTGGGCATTTTCTGTATCTAGTCAGGACATTTAGCTGTACAGTTAGTGTTTCCGAGGAATTTTGAGGGTAAGAATGAAATGACTCAAGGTAAAACAATTTCCAAACTCAAAGAATTTAGGCAGGCCCTAGGACCATGTATAACAGGAAGAGAGCTACCAACTGTAATGGAATGATGGGACTTGAACAACACATCTCCAGTACCTTGAGTTTCTTTAATGTACAGTGTCAACACTAGACACAGTTCACCTTTCGTCTGCACCCACCCCACTCTTTACAAATGAAAGAACTTTCTTGTGAAATGGTCTCACAATAAGAGTAATCGAAAAATAGATCTTATATAATAGAACAATTACATTATGGCCCCATTCACCAGTATTTGTGTTTTCTTTTAGAGGCTTAAATAGTTTCCCATCAGTTACTTTTGGAACCTATTTAACTGACAAGGTAAATGGGTTATGTTGACTTTAAGTTCAATAAAAACAATCAGAACTTTAGTTCAGTTGGGTATTTTTTTCCACTCTTGGTGTTAACAGATACATACTTACCTTCCGGTGGTTCATCACTAAGGTAAGATGGGACTTCTTGTTGATTTTTATCTGCCTGATTCATGATCTAAAAAACACACAACACACATTTCACTGTAACCTCAACATGTGAGACTGCCTCTTACCACATGCTCAATTAAGACTTGACTGAGTTAGGTAAACAACATTTGTAAACACCTATCACAAGTCTGCTTCATCTTGTTTCTCTTACTTTGTGGTGTCTAAGAAATACTTTTAATTACACTTTGGTGGACAGTTCAAATTCTAAACACCAACTAGAGAGTGGTGGGAATGGCACGAGCTTTCCCACGTTGCTGCTGCTGCTTTGGTGAGCGGGAAGCTGACCGACTGCAAGAAAGCTGGAGGGTGCAGGTGGGCAGGCCAGAGTTTTTCAGTGCTTCGTTCTACAGAACACTGGCCAACTTCATCGTAACTTATTTCACGGCAGACTTAGAGGGACACGCGTACTGTATCTAAAAAGTGTTATCTGAGAAGTTCCTTAAAAAAACATGACATCCTCCTGTAGAGGTGACACGGTCAATCTGAATCACTAAGATCGATTTGATTACTTTTTTATTGTTGTGTTTTAGAGCGTAAGTAGGTAACAAAGGAATCCAAAATTTACCGTAAAAAAAGAAAGTACTATGATTACCTCTAAATACAAGTAGAAAAAGAACCTAATAAATAAAATGAACCTTAAGTTGGGATGAAGAAAACATAAACTTTGTTTTCCCAGTTTCCTTTACTATTTTAAAATATTTATTTTTATAGTCGTTTTAAAAATTAAAACAAGTCGACAGCGGCCTAAAAGTTTTCTTGCTTGGCCAGAAAACGAGGGTCGCGGTCCTAGCAGCCGACTACGTACGCCCTAAACATTCCCACGCAGCCTGGATTCCGGCCCCTGAGCATGCGCAACACGGATGAAAAGGGCTCCGTGAAATCCTGCCGTTTGAGACTTGAGGGCGTTACGATACGTGAAACAAATCAAAGCACAGCCAGGGAACCACGGCGGAGGCCTTGCCAAACGGCAGCAAGGAGAGGAGATGGCAGAGTGAGGCGCGGACGGCGGAGGCCCGAACAGGCCACGGCGGGAGGCTGCCGCTGTGGGTGAGACGGGAGCCAGGGGAAGGCAGCGCCAACAGAGGGGGGTGCCGTGTCCTGCTTTATA